CGCACCCAGAGAATAAAATGACACTTTCGATTAAATCTATAAAGCTTTTTTCCCCCTCCTTTATTTCTAGCGAACATCATTTAACAGATTCACAATGTTTTTTTAAAAATATACATATATTTTTGTAGCTATGACATTTAAAAAGAAAAATCAACAGGTAAGGTTTTCTTTTCGAAAATAAAAAAACAAACAAACAACTAAAGTGAGAGAGTGTGCTGAATCAAAGGAGATACCCGTATCAGAGTTTAAAATACTTTCATTGTTTTTCCCTGCCCTCAAACATATACAGTACGTAAAAAAAAAACGAGACGGGAACAGAAGCGTACAGTACACAGGGGTCAAGAGTATTCACAAAGCATCATGTTCCAACGTGTTATTAGCACCATTACTCTTCAGCCGTGCTGCACTTTCTCACTCTCTCCATCATTCAGTTTTTAATGGAAAAACACCATGAGTGTCAAGGCGATGTGGCACAGACCTGTCTGTGTGGGTGGGATTGTCTGTTACGCAATTTTCATTAGTGTTCTCCCTTTTCTCAGAGATAATGTTAAGAACATATTGGAGGGTAATGCCTTGACGAACAATTGTATTGAAACGACTCCCGGCGATGAGAATAAAAAAAGGCGAAGAATTTCTCGTACATTCACCTTGCCTGCCCAGGCCGACACTTAAGACATCGGCTCGGAAGCAAGAAAAACAAAATAGAGAAAAGAAAATGCATTGGGAAATTGACAGAGAGATTGCATTAAATCTGTTTAGCATATTTACTGTATATAACATCTGTAATATGTATAGTCAAATTTCGTTCATATATGCCTTCTTCAATTCTTTAATAGCGTTTACTTTCATAACACTGACTGAAAGTTGATACCCTGCAGAAAACACTGTCAGTAAGTAGGTGTGTGGGACAATCATTACAAAAACAAAGTGAATACAGACAAGTGCTTGATTGTCTCACTAAATGTCTTCAGTGCATCTGTAAGGAGCCGTCCAGAAATCCTTCAGCTGCTGCTCCTGCAGTGTGGACACCCGTAAATTCTCTACTGTTTTTATTTTTTTTAATTCCTTCCCTGCAACCCTGCCTTGAGGTCTCTCCATTGTTTGTCTTTGTGGGTGCAACAGAGACAAGGAGGGTGTGTATGTACTCATATGTGTGTGTCAGTATGCATGTATATATGTATGCGTGTGCAAGTTTCTACTGCCACTTCATCATCTTGGAGCTATGAGGTAAATCCAGGAGGCTTTCATCAGTTCCGGTTGAGGGAAGGGCATCCGGGGCAGACCAGCGGCGCTTGCGTGCATGTGGCTGCTCTTGAGCAAGGGGCTCTGCAGGCAGAGTGCGTGGCGGGGCTGCAGCAGGAGGAGGTGGGTGATGGTGAGGAAGAGGGGGTGGAGGAGGTGGAGGTGGCATCTCCTCCCTGTGCGAGCTGCTGGATTCCCCTGTAGCCCTGGGGGGAAGTTGCATGCGGTGCGCCCTGGTGCCAGTGCGCGTGTGTGTCCGGTGGGTTTGGCTGGGCGTTGGGGTGAGGGCCAGGCAGACGTCCCCCTCCACAAGCTGGCGGCAGGGCAGGCCGTACAGCTGTGTGGTTCTCTGGGGACTGCAAGAAGACCAGCCTCGGTCCTGCACAAAGAATGGATACTCCGCCAAGACCTTCAGTAACTCCTAAACAAAACCACAACATTGTTACACACATTATTACCACAATTTGTATTAACTGATCTGAAGCGTTTACACTGGAAAACTGCAGCATCATACTCATTTACTTACTCAAATCTACTCATCATGTCATATACTAAAGAGTACTTGTGTACTTCTGTAGAGAAAGCTGACCTGAGTGTTGCGGTCCGTGAGGTGGACCTGCAGGTGGCTGAAGCCCTGTGCGCTGCTGGGGGAAATCAGCAACACGGTGCAGGTGCTGAGATGGAACTCTGAGGAGGTGTCGGCGCTCCTCAGGAAGTCCTCGGTTCGCAGCTCCTCCACTCGCTTCAACCGCCCGCTGGCCAACTCGATCAGAGAACCCTTGGCGAAGTGAGGTAGGAGCGCGGGGGGAGATGGGTGAATGGCTGGGGGTGAGGTGTGAAGATGGCAGGGAGAAGACTCACTCCCTCTGTCCCTTTCTCTGTCTCGTCGTCTCTCGCGCTGTCTTTCCCTTTCTTGGTCTTTGTCGTGCTGTAGGTGCTTCTCTTTGTCTTTAGCTCGCTCCCTGTCCCTATGCGAGACTTTGTCTCTTTCTTGGTCTCTTTCCCAGTCTCTTTGCGACCTGTCATGGCTGTTAGGCAGACCCAGGGGTGAGTGAGGTGAGTTCTTTAGATTGTGCTGCCTGGGGCCCGGCTCCCTGTGCAGGTTGTACAGAGGTGTTCCTGAGGGGCTATAGAGTGGGTAGGGCTGTGGGTTGGGGTGGGACACTGATCCCAGTGAGTAGTAGATCTGGGCTTCAGCTGGTGTGGCCCCTATGGGATCCAGTTGTCCCCCTCTACCTGCCCTGGGGTCTGCTCTGAGGGGACTGGAGGAGAGTAAATTTGAGCCTGTCTTAACTATGCAATGCGGATGTCTGTCCTGCAGTGAGGAATGTGGCTCAGGGTCCTCCTGAGTTTGAGAGTCTAACAAAAATGGCCCTCCAGAATGGACATGGGAGGTAGGATCCTCCTGCTGTCTCCTTCCACCATTGGTATGGGAGCTGTGTGGACTGAAGTCCAGCCTGGTTCTGCTGCTCTCGTTCCCGTACTCTCCTGTGAGCAGAGCCCTGGAGGTAGAGACAGTCCTGCTGCCTGACCCATCCAAGCCGTTGAGCCTCTTGCCCAGGTACCTGTGTCTTGCATCAACTAAGCTTGGGTCTTGGGGGTAGAGAGAATGGTGGCTAAACAAGTATGATGGTGAGAAGAGGGAGGAGCTGTAGTCGCGCCGGCTGCTATTGACGTAGGACCACATCTCTCTTGAATCAGCAGGGAAAGGAGTCTTGAAGGAGGAAGCCGAGGAGGAAGATGATGGAGATGGCAAGGAGAGGGAACCCTCCCCTCTGAGCCACCTGGAGGAGTGGGGCAGGGGTGAGGAGAGAGGATCATCTCTCCAGGCTGGAGACCCTGAGCTTCTCCTCTCGCCGATCTGCCCAGGGAAAAGGGGAAGAGAAACAGAGGGAGAGTAGCTCACGTGCCATGGGAGGGAAAGGGGGAGGCATGGTGCAGGAGCAGGAAGGGACGGAGGAGTGAGGAGGAGATGAGAGTTTGTCAGAGCTCGATCCCTGTCACTGGCTTCCCTGCCTCCCTCCCCTCTGCCTGTGCTGGACCGACTTCGGAGTGGCACAGGGGGTTTAAACTCGTCCAAAGGGATGTGGTGTTCCAACGATCCCTGCCGAGACTCCCTCTTCTTAGGAGGGAGGCACTCTTTGCCGCGGTCAGGGCTGGGATTCATGGGTGGGCTCCAGCGGCAGTGGGGGCCCCCTGTGTACGGGTGTAGGCTAGGTCACATGGGCCTCACGGGAGAACGAACGGGGCAGACAGAGCGGAGGGCTGCTACACAGCATCACTGTCGGATCACTGCTGATTCTCTCGCACTGGAGTGCCACTCACCTAGAGGAGGAACGAGGACAGATGCAGACAAGGAGGGAAGGGAGAGAAACAGAAGAAAGGAAGATTCAGACTGAGCGAGGAAAAAGGACTTGGCATTGGTTCAGTCATGTTTCAGACAGGTGGAGACAAATCATCCAGTGACTCCCTCACCCAAAACTACTTGTAAAAGGTCAGAAACTCTTAGCGTCCTGATTGCTGTCACTAATTAGTCATTACCTGCGTGCACTGTGGTGGGAGTGAAAGTACCCGACTTACTTGTTTAATTCAAAACACATTACTCCCACATGTGGGCTATAAATACATTTTGTAGCCAAAGCAGTTCAGAGGGAAAACACACACACACACACACACACACACAGAGAACACTCACAGCAGGAGAGTTTTCATCTCTGACTCTCGGGGGATGATTGGAATATGTAGATATGTTTTCGTACCACTTTCATGAGCCACCCCCACGACACCCCCGGGGTGTTCTCTCTATTCTATGTAAGCTTACTACTAGCACCCCCCCGCCCCTTCTTCTTTCAGACAGACACACTTGGACAGCAGCAGACACACAAACACTCCCTCGGGCGGCTGTACTTACTCCCCCAGTGATAGGCAAAGCTGGTCACCACCCACCCAAAAGCTGAAGAAACACTGTTGATATTGCCACCAGTTGTTGTGCGTGCAGGGTGTGTGTCTCAGCATATTAATTATGTGTCACAGCAGGGGTGTGGGGAAGTGTGTGTGACAGTTTGCGTGAGTGCATGCATGTGTGCCATGTTTGTGCGGCTTTTTTGTTGTTGTTGAAATGTGTGAAAGTGTTTATTTGTTTAGGTCTTTGTGTGCGTGTGTTTGTGTTTGAGTCCTCGAATGTGTCAAGAGATTTTGCAGCCTTGTTTCATTCAGTGAGAAGTGCGGGGGAGCTCTACTAATTCTTCTCCCAGCTTCTAAATGGGCTTTTCTGAAGTGATGGCTGCCGCAGCGCCAGCCCAGCTGTTCCCTCCACCACCACCGTTGCCACCCTCTCTGCTCCTGCCGCCACAACACCAGAGCGCCACGATGGCACTCAGCCCCACACTCACCCGCAAGTCTGTCTCAACAGCCTACCAACTCCCTGCTGTCTCACCATCCGCCACACTGTCACCATGGCAACTGTGTCCGCACACACATCCATTCGTTTGGAGAGGTTAGATGGGGATACTCCGTGGAGAGGCGGGTAAACTGTTGCTCATCAAGTGATTTGGTCCAAAAACAGAAAAACTGTTAGCATGGAGCAAGCTGTTTGTGCATCTGAGTGGAAAACTGAAAACTGGGTGGTGAGAGGAGGGGAGAGTTATTGTTCCAGACACTGTCAGGAGGGGCGCATTGGAGTCAGACGTGTGAAATGTTTATGGCTCTTCTTGGCAGTTTTAAGGTAAATGAGGATGTTGCTGTTAAGATGGGAAACATTATATAAGTCCAGCTTCAGTGATATATTTTCAGTTCAGCTGAGACATTACATGGTTTTCCGGTGCTGAACAAACCCACTGACCCGCAGGCTTACATGAAAAATGATGTTCTGCAGATTTGAGCCCTTCAGGCAGCAGCCACAGCTAAAAGTTATTCTTGATATAAGCAGATTTCTGCCAAAATTAATTTGAAGAATAATCAGATATCTATCAAATGAATTATCATCAATCAATCAATGACATTTAATTTGTATAGCCCATCTGCACAAATTACAATTGAACTATCTGAACAGTCATGATTATTCATTTAAATGTGCTAACTGCTTATTATCTGAAAAGACACACAAGCTTGGTATACCTGAACGATTTATTAATTCAATAAATTGAATGAAAATACTACAATTTCTACTATAAAAAGAAACACGCCAGTTAAATTACAAGACAGGTTTCCAAAACAATAATTATAAAATGTCAAAATACATTTTCAAGTTTCACACAGTATTCAAAAGGTCAGCATTTGTCAAAAATATTCATGTGATTTTTCCTTAAGACCTCTCCACTGCTGCTCTCAAGAATCCAAATCTTTTAAATTGATAAAAATCTGGGTTCTGTCTTTGTCCTGAAATGACTGTTAAACCTTTGTCACTCTGACAGCGCTTTTGAAAAAAGGTTGCTGATGTATTAAACTTGCCAAAAAAGAACAAGAAAACAACGATCGCACTTGTGCATGTGGAGGAGTTTGCAGAGAACCGTCTTCTAACAGAACCCTCCCACACTGTGCACACATGCATGCTGCGCTGGAGTTGATCTGGGGCTACTGTGGTTGAAGTATTTAAATATCAACTCCAACAGATCACAATAATAATGTTTTTGCACTTTCCCTCCAACAAATTACTCCTTCAGGCTTTTGAAATGCGATGTAAGCATGAATATCATTTATTGTCCTAAAACTGAAATCTGAATCTTGAAACACAAACTAAAACAACTGGCATAAAAGTTTTTTTTATATTAAAATGTAAAATGCAAATATTGTTCAAATTACTCTGAACTTGCTCTTGTGCAACAGTCAGATTTGACACATTGATTTGCACGGCTCCGTCTCATCCCGCCTTTTCTCTGCATGAATTCATCAGGAGAAATATTAAAGGTGCATCATTCATAACTGCAAACCTCTCAAAAACAGAACTACAGACTGTTAGTGACTAGTTTCACCTGTTTCAATCAAAGAAACAATAAATTAATAATTCAGCAGTGCTACCTGAAACAGAAAATAACATTGAACAGCAGTTCTCCTGTTCTAAAAGAGCAGTTTGAGAATGTGGGAGCAGACAGACGATGATGGAGCCGGTTGTTGCTGTGATGTGATGTTAGACTGACCTCAGTGCGGGTTGAGCAGACGTCCCTGCATTTGGCCGTCATTCATATTCCAGTCCTCCCAGAGGGTCAACCCACTCCTCAGCTCCTCGCTGGGCTACACTGCTCCTCCACAACACCACCGTCTGTTCCAACACCCGCAGATATCAGCAACCTGCAGCTACACACTGACTCTGATCTCTGCACGCATGAAATAACACCAGCAAGCCCACCGAACTGAGGGAAAAAACTGAGAGCACTGCTATCCGTCTCCGTGTCAGTTGTGTTTGTGTGTGTGAGTGTGTCAAGAATGCGTGTGTGTGTGTGTGTGTGTGTGTGTGTGTGTGTGTGTGTGTGTGTGTGTGCAAAGGGCTGAGGAAATGAGTAATATCTAGCAGTGAGAAACATGTCTGCTAAGCAGAGCCACATAGGCAGACCAGTTGCTGCTGCCGCCCACTTGCTTTAATCACTGTGATACAAATATGCACACACACACACACAAACATATACGTTATACACACACAAACACACACAGACAGACAGTCAAGGATGCAGCACATACACATTATATATACGTGATGATAAGCTGCCTTTGTGCTGTCTGATGTTACGCTTTTCACCCAAGTTTCACCAGTTAAATGAATCTTTTAACATGAAAAGTCATGAATCAATCAATTAATCTGTAATCAAATCATTTATCTGTGTTTCCCATGAACACATTTCAGACGACATGTTGGCTCATCAAAGACAGGGAGGGATGGAGGGGAGGCAGAGACACAGTTGATGTGAGATAGGGAGGGACATGGTGGGAGGCTCATCCCACACACACTCTCAGACTTGGGCTCTGACTCAAAACTAAACCACACACACACACACACACACACACACATGCACAAACACATACACACATTACTTTTGGTACTTTTTGTTTATCTACAGATTTTGTCTGACTTTGTGTCCTTTGTTCTCATCAAACCACTTTGTGATTAACCTTCTTGTCAAAATAAGCTTTTACAAATAGATTTGATTTGACTTCATAAGCACACAAAAACACACACACACACACACACACACACACACGAACAGTTCATATGCACGCACACCCTGAGTGATTTGCTTCAGTGATTCAGTCGGTGTAAAGTAAAGTGTGTCGGTATGGCTGGCATGGCTTATTAGGGCTGAATTGGTAAGAGTAGTGCAGTTCATTTCCAGCAAAAAGTAAGAAAACTGTCAGTATAGAAACCTTTTACAAAACAGGCCCAAGGTTAGAAATGCAATGCTATGCAAATAACCCTGTCTGCTCCTCGTCAAAGAAACAGGGCCAAACCTCAATTCAAACAAGCTTATGTTAATTATCGGCACAGAAATGCAATACAGGAGCCAGAACATAAATTGGAGCACAGGGAGAAATAGGATTTAATGAAGCAATCTAAATCTTAAATTGTAAAAAGCAATATTTATTTTCTTTCATATTTCTACAAGCAATTCATCGAGCCGTCGGAGCACCGAGCCAAACGCAGAATCATATCCAGCGACAGTAAATTAGAGGTTAACCTTGTCTAACTTCTCAGCCTCAATGGAATGGAAAGCTAATCAGACTTGGAGGTGTGCAGACACATCAGCCTGAAGGCCACGCTGAAACATCCCCGCGCTGACGTGACAATTGACAAGAAAGTCTCGTCTGACTTTTTCTTAGTTTTCAAAGTGAATGCTGTGTGAAGCTTGTGGCGCTGAGGTTGTGTGGGCACAAGTGCTGTCTGCTCTCTTATTTGTTGTACTTGTATGGATTCATTATAGGCACCAACATTTCTGACACAGAGATCTTTTTGTGTTGGGAGTTGAGATTATATTAAAAAGATATTTATGATAGTGGGGCCCACTTCATAATGTCACATGTAAATCCAATCAATATTCAAAAACAACAACCTCTAATTGTTCATCATAAATTAATCTACAGCACATCTGTTCATTTCAAAGGCTTTTCATGCAGTTAGTTTTTATTAGGTATTTAAAATTCTTAATAAATAATTTAACTCTACAATTGGCTGCTTTTAAAAATAAAGTTGCTTCCAATGTTTTACATTTTTTTATATTAGAGCATGATGAGGTCATCAGGTATCAGAATTAGCATTTTAAATTAAATAAATAGTCCAATAATTATGCAAGATCAACTCGATCATTAATTTAATTAGTTGACTTGTATTATATCTTAAGTTCAGCAAGTTACTGAGAAATAAAACTTTAATGGTTAAATATGAAAGTAAAAATACAATGCAGCACAGCAAAGAAAATAATGAATTTCCCCCCTCCGAAAAAATACCTCTGACCTCACAATCACAATTCAAAACTATATAATATCTATACAATAAAACAATACAGTTATCCTACATGTATCATAACACTAGTTGATGTAAGTTTTGGTGTAATGGTCCAGTCATAACGAAAAAGAAGCAAATACATTTAATGACAGAGTTCATCAAAGGGCATCTACCACAATGTGGAGATATAGAAATGACTGCTCTACTTAAACATGCACACTTTGATATTTAGCACTTCGTGTTCACACACACACACACACACACACACACACACACACACACACACACACACACACACACAGAGAGAGAGACAAACATCAACATAAGCAATAACACCACGGAGTGGTAATGTGCTGTCAGTCATTTCTGGCACCACTGAGGCATTTGGAGTACACTGTCTCTGTATTTCATTAAGCTGTGGCTGTCTGTCTCTTTACCTGACTTTGTAGTTTTTAATCTCTCTCTCTCTTTCTCACACACACACATACACACACACGGAAATGCACACGCACACACATGCACACACACACAGAATTACGCACACACATGCACACACACACAGAGAAACACACAGGGTCAGTACTTGACAAGAAAGGTTGAATATGTCGGACAAAAATGTGTACAGGTGAGTGGATTTAACCCTTCAACAGAGTCTGCTGCACATGATTTACTGTCTGAGCATCTGGACTGTTTTTAAATGAATAAAAATCTATTTTGCTCTTTTTCTTTCTTTCTTTTTTTTTTTTTTTCCATTCTTTCTTGTTGTCTTTATTTTTCTATCGTTCCACTTTCCCCCTCTTTTGCTAATTTTGCCCACTCCTGTGTTTTTTTTTTTTTTTTGACCATTCTTCACGCGGAGCCTCGTATCGGGTGTCCGATCACGTTTCAGGCTGAGTGTGGATCTATGATGGACATCTGATGCAGCAGAAATTTGTTGCTGAATGTAACAGATCTGAACAGAGGAGAGAGTAGAGGAGAACAGGAGGAGGTGAGGAGGGGTAGAGGACATGGCACATGGATAGATAGATGTATAGATAGATAGATGTATAGATTATAAAGAGATAGATAGATGTATAGATAGATAGATGTTTATAAGTATAGAGAGAAAGATAGATGTGAGCAAACAACTTAAGTCTTAGAGGGAGAGTTGGAGAAGTGGAAGGGGATGAATGGATGGATGGATGGATGGATGGATGAATGAATGAATGGATGGATGGATGGATGGATGGATGGATGGATGGATGGATGGATGGATGGATGGATGGATGGATGGATGGATGAATGAATGGATGGATGGATGGATGGGGGTGGAGGAGGGATGTACTACGAGCCTTGTGTGGTGGCTTACTCCACAAGGAGCCGGGCTAAGCCGATAAAAGGACAGGGTGATACGGGCGATAGCTTAATGGGCAAAAGGCCAGGTCAGTCTTCAAGGGCCCTGACCCATTCTTCGACAGGATGAGCCAGCAGCCCTGCCCGCAGCAGGCTCAACCACAATGAGGATGGGCTTATGGCTCAGGAGTTACTATTAACACCCACACATACACACACAAACACACACGCACAGGGCATACTGCTTGTGCACAGACACACACACGCATGCAAAATAAACATTTACTCAAACGTATTCTTTGTGCAAACTCTTGATCCGACATGCACATCTTCCTGTGGCACATGATTAATGAAAATATCTGCAGTTTTTTGCATGAAAACTTTATTATCAGCAGTGTGCTCTGAAAGTGCAGCACAATAAACAATGCATACAGTGTTTCTGATAAGCAGATTGATATAGAGAGTGAGCTAAACACTGCAAGATAAGAAGTTGAGGTTGAAGACAGTACAGTGCTGTACTGTGTATGATGCAGACTAGAGGGTGATGCCTGTAATGTATTGCTGGGTTAATCCCTGTGAATCCTAACTGGTACGGCCTAAGGAAGGCTTAGTATAGTTCTGGGAGGAAATCCCCCTGTGTGGTGGTACAGGCCATTAGCCCCTAAGGTATAAATAGGGCAGCTATGGCTCCTTAAGCTGGCTTTTACGCAATATCAGTTAAAAATATGACTTGACTAATTACATGCAGGTCAGCCAGTCGGCAGAAGCCAAAATTCCTCCAGCTCGTTGACCACGGCAGACTGCCGCAGTCTTCCTGTGCCTCTCACTCTCTGGAGTGTGCAGCCACAGGTCAGCAGTGAACAAACTGCAGAGGTGACAGGTATTCTGCTCGCGGGTGATATTTTTCTAAGGTGGTTGTGTCATTATGGTGTCATTCGTTGACATTTCAGTGTTTGCTGATGAGACTTTCATTACTGCAGTCTGATAATATGAAGCGTCAGAACCTGATATACTTTCAACCTCAAAGGGCAGACTTTGGTTTCATTTCAATCATATGCATCACGAAGACAATGAAAAAAAACCATCAAATATACCGCTGTGCTTATATATGTGAAAGCAGTTTTCTGCCTTTGTGCAACACTTTGTTTTCTAACTTTTTTTTTTTTTTTACTATGAGCCCCTCTCACTAGTCTGTGACACGATTAGTTCAAGTAAGAGCCCTGGGAGAAGAACTATCATGCTATGAGATCAGTAGCTTATGGGGGGGGGGTTTCTGATAAAACCTATAGTTAGTTCTGGATCAGGTGAGTCCTGAACCTTCCCTTAGTCTTGCGTCTATAGGCCTAGACTGCTGGGGGAACTCCCATCATACACTTCTCCCCTTCTTTCTGTCCCTCTGCCCCCACATTAATTTAATTTACTAAATGTTTTTTCCCTCCATTACTATTATCATAGTTCAAATTCTTATATTATAGTTATTAATATTGCTATATGAATTGTTACTACCATCTTTACATCCATAATTATCACTCTTGTTGTTTTCATTATAA